TGGAATAATCGCGGCATCGAATAATAGAGCTTATAAGGCGTATGTTGTGTTTTGACGCCGTATGAGCATTCCAACATTTCCAAGTTTCTCCCGTTTAAATATTCTTTCCGAGAAAAGGATAGTTAAGATGGTTAGTAAGGAGTTAGGAAAGTTCTTCATACCCTCGACTATTAATCAATCTTTTTACTTCATTTATCATCAGAGGGTAAGACATCGATGCCTTTTCAACACACTAACCTAAACTAGCGTTGACATAAAACTGCGTTTATTTTCCAATTGTTTCCTGTTTCGTATTAGTTGTGATGTCAGCAAGAGGGGGAGGAAGTTTAAAAGGAATTCTAAAATATTTGCACTAAAGAAGAGTTGCCCAAAATCCTGACCGTTTCTCTCCCTTTTTTCGGGGTTATGCTACACCACTGAAGACTGCACTAAATTTGAACAGCACTATTCCTGCTTTATGTCGGAAAAGACGAATTTTCCTGTATACAGTAACGCAAAAAAACTCTTTTGATGGGGTGTATATTTCGTATGAAGGTGCAGTGCATCATTAAAAATAACTTATGGCCGCCGCCGGAAAAAAACCGTGGTTACTTTTGGACCGCTTTTGTGAATATCATTTAACCGCTCCTCCTCACTCTTTCTACAGCCATTCTGCCGGATAAAGAGCTTGATGCAAAAACGGCTTTTTTCGCCCCCCCTCTGGAAGTTCTTCAGACTTTGTCTATTGATTAATCATACTTGCGCGCTTCTTTTCCCAAATTTTCAGACTCCCAAAAAATTTTGGGGGGGAGCTAGGGGGGGTGGAAGTCAAAACCTGTGAACCTCGATATCTCTTGAACAAAGAAAGATATCGAGGTCCGGTTTGGACGAAAAATCGTCTAAAGTTGCATACTTTAAGATTCTAAAGGTCAAAATCCCGATATCACATTTTTAAATCAACATATGTGCTTTTTTCCAGTTTTTAGGTCTAGAAAATTTCTTTTAAACGAAAAATTTACAAAGATCTCAATTTTTTATTTGAACCAAAGCCAGTTTTTTAAATTGTTCGTCTTTTTCCGCATCCAACGAGTGGTCCGTTAAGCTGGGGAACCAAACGGTTCCGGAGTTATGATCGATTGAAGTTTCCGCTCAACGCGCGCCGACCGATTTTCGCGCGCAAAAAAGTCGGATTTCACTGTTATTAAATCAGATTGAATGTTCAAACTGAGCAAAATGCTTTATTAGGGACTCTTGAGGGTCGCTGAGTTCAAAAATTACCGATACTTCCAAAAAATTCACGTTTCTAAAATTGCAGCTTCGGACAGGACCACTGAGCGGCCGGTTGGCGCTCAGTGGGCCTCTAAAATAGCACTGCGGAGCTGTAATTTTAAAAACGTGAATTTTTTGGAAGTATCGGTAATTTTTGAACTCAGCGACCCTCAAGAGTCCCTAATAAAGCATTTTGCTCAGTTTGAACATTCAATCTGATTTAATAACAGTGAAATCCGACTTTTTTGCGCGCGAAAATCGGTCGGCGCGCGTTGAGCGGAAACTTCAATCGATCATAACTCCGGAACCGTTTGGTTCTCCAGCTTAACGGACCACTCGTTGGATGCGGAAAAAGACGAACAATTTAAAAAACTGGCTTTGGTTCAAATAAAAAATTGAGATCTTTGTAAATTTTTCGTTTAAAAGAAATTTTCTAGACCTAAAAACTGGAAAAAAGCACATATGTTGATTTAAAAATGTGATATCGGGATTTTGACCTTTAGAATCTTAAAGTATGCAACTTTAGACGATTTTTCGTCCAAACCGGACCTCGATATCTTTCTTTGTTCAAGAGATATCGAGGTTCACAGGTTTTGACTTCCACCCCCCCTAGCTCCCCCCCAAAATTTTTTGGGAGTCTGAAAATTTGGGAAAAGAAGCGGACAAGTATGATTAATCAATAGACAAAGTCTGAAGAACTTCCAGAGGGGGGGCGAAAAAAGCCGTTTTTGCATCAAGCTCTTTTCAGAGTTATGAAAGTTCGCGGTTTAGAAGTCGTGAAAAATACATGCTCGTCGGTGCTTAATGCATTTTATCTTCTTTCATCCATTATTTTCTTTCGAAAACCCTGTTTCAGTAAAAACGGGGTTTTCCGACTAAATTGACTGCTTGGAAAGTGAGAGGCCGTACATTTGGAATTTTTTTAAAGCGAAGTTGCTCAAAGGAAATTTGCTTCTAGGAGTATTTTTTTTTCTTTTATATCAACCCCGGAACCAGTGGCGTGGCGTACTTTGCCATGGATATGTTGACCTGTCATTTAACCTAAGGGAAAGTGTCGATGAATAGGATGTTTGCAACGAAAACCTATACAATCTTTGCCATATCTTTAAATGGGGCTGTATCGATAATCGATCATTCACGTCTCGCTAAAGCCCGGAACCTCCTCAAATGCTGGGAAATGTTTTTTTTTTTTTTTTTTTTTTTTTTTTTTTTTTTTTTNTTTTTTTTTTTTTTTTTTTTTTTTTTTTTTTTTTTTTTTTTAGCGTATTTAATTATAGTGTAAGTAAAATGATGTTGGACCGTGGATGAAATCTGCTTCAGTGTATCAATTTGATTTGTAATGTTTTTGAAAAAACATATCATTTCGAAGTTGACTCTAATGTAAAATTGTACGTTCTTCATCTTTATAACTGAAGCATTTTTCCGGGTGAGGTGTGTGATTTTCCCCCAAAAATACGATTTTGGATCATAGGGGCCTAACATAGTTCTCAGTAAAAATGGACAAATCGAGAGTTTTGGGATATAGTCGTTGAAAAAAGTTATAAAAAGGTCCAATCGGTCTAAAACTTTACAGGAATTATGTTTATGTATTTGTATGTATAGAAAACCGGGAAGCTAAAATTATCCAACCTCTTTTGACATACAAGTAAGCCGCACCCTACTATATATGTAGAGTAGAGCAAGTATCAAAGAAAACAAGGTTGTTATGCATAACCCATACGAAAGTATAACGTGCGCATATACTGGTGCGTATGAATGATCCAAGTTTGCAAGAGCCTTTAGATGGAAGTACTGATTTCTCTGTCGGCTGAATAGAATCATAGAGCAAAAGCAGTCAAGTAATTACTCGAGGAGATGAAATACGGAAACCGCAGGATTAAGCGCAAAGCCTTAAATTTTCATCATAAGAGACGCACATAAAGTTCCTGAACTTTGCAGTCAGAACTTCTGCTTATCAGAGTTGCCAGACTCTGTGGACTTTATTCGCTTTTGGGCGTTAAGTAAATGACATCCATGTGATATTTTCATCGAGATGTTGCATTTGTGGTCAAGGAAACTCCATAAAAGCGTCCGAAATACGCGAGACGGACTACACATGACTCGTTTTCTGAATTGCTTCCCTCGAGACAGGTAACTATCGGTGGCTCAGTGGACGGAACTTATAAAGTCCTACGGTTGCAATTCCGTCTAAATTGGGGTCTCATTCTGGGACAAATAGCCGTTGGAGTTTAACTTAAATCTCTAAGCTTCAGATACGTGATGCATGTGTTTAGAAAATTAAACCAAGAGGCGAGTGATTTCTTGTCCTCTAGTTTATAATTATGTTAAATATTTATATTACAAATCCCGAATGTATAATATTTAAGTTTGACGAGTCGAATGGATTGCTAGATTGTTGCATTTCTTGTCAACAGTATTTTTAGTATTAAAGAGAAATAAAATAACGCAGCTCATTCATCTTTAGTATTCCAAACACAAAACTACAGCTATTGGGAAAAATCTATCAACCTAAGAGATTGAGGCATTAGTAACTCTTTGACAAGCTTAGCAAAATTCGCAGACAGTGAGCCTGCTTCTCAATTTCCTGATGTGAGCAACTGGGAGACTCGATACTTTGCATTAGTCGGGAGTCATAACACTCCCAAACGGTACACAGCACATACGCGCTATAACAAAAAAAAAACAAAAAGAAACAAAAAAAAACCTTACGAACATCAAAAAACACTTAAAATTGTTTAATGCTTCTGTTGTTAAGAAAGTTCGAAGAAACAAATCATAATTTTAAAAATGTATAATGTATCCAATAGAACTTGGTAAAAGTGTACCTTAAGCATCAATAGATTTTACATTGTTAAGATCAGTGGCATAGCTAGGATTTCTTTCAGGAGGGGGGGGGGNACACCTAGGGTATAATATTTTATATCTGCCCTCCAAAATTAAAAAAAAAAGGTACAATTATTAAGGCTAAGGGGGGCAGACCCCTAGATACCTCCCTCCCTTGTCCACGCAACCAGTTAAGATATACATATGTAAGATGTTTGATTGCTGGTGTTGCTCATGACTCCCTGAAGGGAGTCATATTATAGGGAGTCCGGCTGAAGGGAGGAATATTCNTAGAACAGTTGCTTTCCCAAGCTTCATTCTTCTTCCGTGTTATGAGGCTCCTAACTTTAGACTGAGCTTTCCTGTAAGCAACTTTATCTTCAGTCTTTTTAGACGACAGAAATATAAGGTGTTTTTGCCTCTTAAGATTTATCTCGTCTTCAATTTCTTCATCCCACCAGTAAGGATGCTGGTATTTATTACTGGTTTTGTGAACACCTAGGGTATAATATTTTATATCTGCCCTCCAAAATTAAAAAAAAAAGGTACAATTATTAAGGCTAAGGGGGGCAGACCCCTAGATACCCCCCTCCCTTGTCCACGCAACCGGTTAAGATATACATATGTAAGATGTTTGATTGCTGGTGTTGCTCATGACTCCCTGGAGGGAGTCATATTATAGGGAGTTCGGCTGAAGGGAGGAATATTCAGCTTCAGCTGAATATCCTCTCTTTATTTCGGTCGTATAAATAATTGACTCGAGACAAGGCAGCTGGCCCTTAACTGAGCATCCGGATTAAACTGGTGCACGGTTAGCGCTGACAGGGAGAGTGGAGTAAGGGGCGCCTGCACTCGGGAGAATGCAATTTATCGTCGCGGCGGCGGGATGTGTTGCTTCTCAATTATGAGCGGGGTGTCACTTGTTGCAGTGGTCGGAGCTATCGGGCGGCTAGTTTGGCGGTGCCGCGGAGCTCATACGGGGACGAGAACCACCCCCGGTGTCCACCCCCATCCAGTCCGGGCCTCCTCGACCTCTTCTACTCCGAGGCCAACCATTTCGAGCAGCCCTTCCGACGCCACTCCACAGCCGATGTCTACCACTCACAGAGGACGCACACACACAAAATCGTAAGAATAACTCTCTTTTTCACTTGCAGGGATAAAAGCTAGAAGTGAATCAGTGCTTTTGAGCGGGGCGGAAGTTCTGTTTTTTTATTTTTTATTTTATTTTATTTTTCCCACTTTATTTTTGACGCTATTCTCACGTGGCATTTCGACGGCGTAAGTCCGCAATCACATATCGACGGTGAAACTACCAAACCACGTATCTCGGTTTGCGACGTCGCAGACTTCCTGTCATACTTTATTTTTTAAATGAAAAGCTACTTAACGTCCAGTCTTGAAAATTTCCGTGATTTTTCCTCTTCGTGCGGAGAAAATTCTGTGAAAATTTCAAGGAATGATATTGATTTGGTCTACTTCAAAAAAATAAAATGTGAGCGGAGATTTTTAAACACCGCAAACGAGATACGTGGTTTGGTAGTTTCACCGTCGATATCTCGTTTGCGGTGTCTGAAAATCTCCGTCTCTATGTTATTTCTTTAAAGTGGAACAAATTGACATAATTCCTTGAACTTTATGCAGAATTTACTTCCCATAGAGAAGAAAAATCATGGCAGTTTTAAAGAACTGCCGCTGAGTAGTTTTCCTTTAAAAAAAAAAAAAAAAAAAAAAAAAAAAAANAAAAAAAAAAAAAAAAAAAAAAAAAAAAAAGAACGACAGGAAATCTGAGACGTCGCAAACCGAGTTCTGTAGGAGAACGATTTGCACAGGATAAAAGTAATGCAATTTGATTTTTGATTGATTTGTTTTCTATTCCAAACCTTCATCGTCAAATTATTTATCATATTTCTGCACCATAGTTCAACCACAGTTTAGGCCCTTTTCAATCCTTTAAGACATTTTTTTGTCGATGTCTCCACGATTAGGGTTGCAGAGTGCTTTTTGAGATCGGACTGCTTTGTGTAGCTGTAAAGAGACTCCTCCCCCCTTTTTCGCATGAAAATCTTTCTGAAGTTTCAGCACGTAAAAGATTGATTATTGAAGCATGCCGTGCAGTGTAATTTCCTTAAATAATTTCTGAGGCACACATACTTTCGGGAAAAATTTGCCCTTTCAATTTCCCGTTTGAGAGTTCCTCTCCTTGAAAGGTACCTCCATCGACGCGGATTTCTGCTCAGTGCTCTTAAAATTGTTTTTGCTTCTCTCACCCTCTCTTCTCTCTGGTATGAAGTCGGTCCTGGTAGAGTGGCAGGAGCCAGAAAAATTAATTTCCGGAGCGTCTGATTTGATATTAAAGAGGGAGAAAACAGAGGAAAAAAGCTGTTTCGCATATTCGCAGTTCAGTTCACGTATGAATATTAACTATTCGTTTTGATATTTTGAATGTTATCTGAATTTGATAAGATTATTTTTCCAATGAAAGGAATTTAATTCTGAGGTTTGGCAGATTTCGTGCTTTGGAATTTTAAGGGTTGAGAGATATAGTTTAAAATAAGTTTAAGAATATCTCCTTTTCATCGGATGGAAAAGGAAAAGGAAATGGAGATATTGCATCAAGATAACTACCAGTAAAAGTACTTAAACAGTGATACACTTTTGTTCTCTCAGATTTAAAAAATGCTCTGAAATATGAGTGAAATTATCCTCTCACGATTTACAAGATTGTGTATTTTCAACGATTAAGGCAAAACCCTTATGCAGAGATGTTTTCCCTGAAAACTCCCCTCATTTTTTTTCCTCCGTGTGAAGAATGTTCTGTGATAAGCTCAAGCAATGGCGTTGGTTTGATTTCCTTTGATTGATTCAAATTGGAGCAGATATTTTGAAACATATAAAAACAAGTTATGCGTTCTTGAAGTCGCACCATCAATATGCTTCAGATTGACCCGTTTTTTCGAGAATTCAAATCCATCGCTAGGGTGACAACTTAGAAACTGAGTTAAAGTTTCGATCACCAATCACGCAATTTTCTGTGGATGTAGAAACGGAGGAGAGGTTAATGCTGCCGCGCTAAGGAAAAACGATCCATGAATGTTCGAGAGTTGCCAAATTTCTCTTAATAAAACATGCATTTTTGACGAAAAGTATGCATGTTTCTCCTTGAAATGTTAAGATATTTTAGATTAAATTGCGAGCGAAATTGTCTGCTAATTCCGTAGAAAAATATTTAAAATTTTCCCAGTACTTTCAGTTTTAATAGAAGGAAATTTGGCAACGTCCGAAGGCTTTTACGGCGTTCTTCCCAAGCACGGCAGAATAGAGGTGAGGTGGTAAAAACCGAGCCAAGAGGGATCGGGATGGGGGGAGGGGTTCGGGAGAGAGCTCACCGAAGAGCGTAAAATATCATGTGACGGCAAGATCTTTGCCCGGTGTTATAACGGCGTATAATTCCGTTCCTACAGACGTCCTAGGTACTGCAGAAACAACGCGCCTGACGGGGCTTGCTTCTGAGCGCACTTACGCGTTTCTGCCGTGGGGTAGGCGAGATGCTTATCGGGTATGAATTCGAGGCAAGTTTGCGGGGCTCCGCTTCGGGAGACAGTGATGAGATCAAAGCAGATCGAAACGAAAACGAGCTCCTCTTGTCGTACAAAGAGCAGCATTATAAGATTTTGGGCCGAACACCCGACAATAACGCACAATAAAACGAGAAAACATGAGAATTCGGACATAATGTGAGAACTTTAACAGCTTATATCTTTCTTAATAATGAACGTAGAAGTTTGAAAGTGGCTTCGCTGATATGTTCGTGAATTCCTCTTCTGGGGCATCTAGAATTTATTTTGCGCCAGGAAAAACAGAAAAATTGTGTAGTTTTGATCAAAATTTTAACGTCAAAATTTTCATAAATGCTCGTTCTACTATACGACGGGAACATTGCGTAAAGAGCTGCGCTGTGCTCAGAAGAAATATTACACGAACAATTAAATTTTGCTACATGTCTTCTAGAAATATAAATTATCTATAAAACTTTTGACTTTTTCTCAGATTTCTCACATAACATTACTGAGAACTAGCCAGCAGTTCAGTAATTTTTAATTGTTGCGTTCTATAAAAGACGAGGCTGTCCTTAATTCACAGGAATTTTCCGGATTGTTTAAAGTCCACTAACATCAGAAAAACTTAAAAGGGTGGAATTTTACCATTTGCTAAATTTGTGCCACTCTGTGGTAAGTTCATCAGGTTTTTATCTTCAGTGAGGCTTTTTTTTTACTCGAAATGCCATTTTAGGCTTGTCGTAACACCGAAATATGAAACTTACCCATCATTTTAAATTAGACGTGTGCAGCGCAAACATCATTTAATGACGCCAAGTTAACATACCCAGATCTACTCTCCGTAGGTTGCGGTCGGAGAAATATGAAACGCCTTCAAATGCGCGTGATACTGTGCAACACACCAAAGTCGAAATAGTTGTATTCTTAGGTTGGAACCTAACTCAAGATCAATATTGCTCTACCAAATGAAGTATCTTAACCTGTTTTCTGCTGTACTTTAAGTTACCTCGTATATTTTACGATTCTTGCCCGTTAATTTTAAGCCTCAAATTCTTTAAAAGAAAAGTATTAAAATTATTATTAATGTGACCAACGAAAAAGGCTCGTCTGAAAAGAAAAAAAAAACACTCTTCTTGAAACTTCTATAGTTTTTGAGCGCGGCTGCTGTGAAAGGGTATTCATTGACGAGAAACTCGAATTTTTTGTTAAATTTTCAAATTTCAAAAATACAAGATGGCGGACGTGGCCTAAAATGCTATCTCGGCTCGTGTTCGATCGATTTTTATACGACTCGGTATAATGGGGTATTTTTTGACGGGAAACTCTAATTTTCACACATTTTCGAAATTCAAAATTCAAGATGGCGTACGTGGCCTAAAGTGCTTTATAGGTTTGACCCAATAGTGCATATCCTTGCAATCTAGATCTGCATTTATTTTCCGTTCATTTCGAACGATTTGTTTTTTTAAACGTAAGAAACTAATTGGAGCCGCTATTTTCCCGCGATATTAAAATGTATTTAGCTCATGTTGTTTTTTCACAAATCAGTGATACGGGGCAAAACGTGGATATTGCAGAGCAACAAAGAACTTTAGAGATGATATGTTTGTCAGCTTAACGAAATCTACCCATGGTAATCTCGCGGAGAGTCCATTTTATTGATTTGTGATAAAATCAAAGTTGCAACGGACCGTAAAAATTATTGAGCTCAACAAATTTTAGAATTTTCGGTGATGAGTCGTTCGCAGGAAGAACGACTGAATTCTACTGCACGTGATAAATCGCTTTATTGGCACAATGAGATATCCCTCAGCTCAAAAGGAACTGCCAAGGAAACGGTTTCCTTTGTAATGATGAATCCTATATCTCTCAGTGCACTGCTTTGATCTCTATGTACACGCAGCCCTACTTCCGTCTAAAATATAAAACTGCAGGTTGAGTTAATTGCCTGCAGCGGAAGCAGCCAGCGCAACGATAAAGCAACTCTAGACCGGGACCAAATTCCAGAAATTCCTCCTCCTTCTAACCTCATTCTTTTCCGAGGGACGCCCCTGTCGGCGGCTTAAAATTCTTTTCATTCCCTCCTTTTTTTATCCTCCGCTCTTGACAATTGATAGCCGTAGCCGACGTGAATATTATTTTACGGTCCTTCGGTGTGCGGCGGAGTCTAGGCTGGCTGAGTCATAATAGCCCGGTAAGAAGTAGTTAAATTGATTTCCGCTTAAAAGCCCCGCACGGGCAAAGCGAGGAGCGGTGAGCCCGGGGGGGGGGGGGGGGGGGGAGCAAAGCTGAAAAAAGGGACGAAACAGTCGTCGGAAATCGATAGAGGAAACGCTCGGCGACGAAAAGAAAACGATGTCCGGACCTCAGCCCCGCGCCGCTACCGCGTTGCCGCCATTCAAATCCACGCTCTTTTACTGTAACGCTACCAACTACATTTCCACGTGAGCCTTGGCATGCGTAGAGTTATACGCGTTTCGAAGTGCAGTTAAATATTGACTTCGGAGAAAGGACGAAATCGCGACGGAGAGAGCCTGCACCTGTTGCGCGAGGGGATCCCCCCGAAAA